GCTCTCCGAGATTTACTATCCTTTCGTAGAGCTTGTAAAACTTATTTATTTAGGCTGGTATTTGAAGCTTGGTGATCAAATTTTTCCTTGATTTTAATGTTATGTGTTACATGTGTATATTGTGAACCGCTCTGAGCCTTTGGAGAGTGGCGGTATATAAAACTGATTAATAAATAAATAAATAAACAAACAAAATCGTAATCTGGGGCGTGTTGCTTGTAAGCTGCCCCGTCTTACAAGCAACACACTCTATATGTCCAAATTTGGCATATATCTATATGCCGAAATTTGAATACTGGTGGGTTGGGGGGGTGGATTTTGTCATTTGGGAGTTGTAGTTGCTGGGATTTATAGTTCACCTACAATCAAAGAGTATTCTGAATTCCACCAATGATGGAATTGAACCAAACTTGGCCCACAGAACTCCCACAACCAACAGAAAATACTGGTCTAGACCTAAACCAGGCTTTAGAGAAGGTCTGTTTTAAGATCAAGTCAGGAGGTACTGTGATTCTAGCTATGAATAGGTTTTTAATTGGGTTTAACTTTATTTTTAATGCTGTAAATATATAATATTATCTATTTAATGTTTGTTTATTTTTAGGTTTTAAATTGCATTGTATTGATTTTACCATAAGTCACTTTCAGTTTCTTTTTTAGAGATACAAAGTGGAAAACAAATAATAATAATAATAATAATAATCACAAAATCATGATCTGTTAACTGCAAAAGGCCACCTTACTTGGATCTGCTCACATCATTCATCACACAGTCCTAAATGCTTGGGAAGTGTTGACTTGTGATTTTGTGATACGAAATCCAGCATATAGATCTTGTTTACTGTGTTTTTGTGTCAGTAAAATAATAATAATAATTTCAGTTTATTTGTGAGTAACCATTAGTGAACAAAACAAGACATCTTTCAAAGTAAATATGGATCAATAAATCAGTCTAAAGCTGCACAATTTGGGAGTGAAAAGGCCTTGAAATCAGTGTGCCCGACTCCTCTAAGTGTGTGCTTCATCCCATGTAGTTGGGACTCATATGAATGCGCCATTATTTCATGTGGCCTGGTTGCTGTACGCTTTTCCATGCAAAACTGCTGTGAAAAAGGTTTCATATATATATTCTTAGAATATATCAGTACTTTCAATACTCTAATATTCCATACTCAGTTCATTACATCAACTATACCCAAGAGTATTGAAGAATTCTATGATAAGTGTATATATATCTTGCATACTTTTTTTTGTTCACCTCTGTGCCCCCCTCCCCTTCTGAGCCACTTCAGTTTGCATTCTCTTTCCAAAATATCATTTCTACTTTTGGAGGTAATTTCCCATGCACTTCTTTTAATCCGTTCTCAATAAATTTTCCGCAAACTTCATCAAAGTCGTTTTCCTTCCATACCCCTTTCCTGACTCTTAACCTACATGTCAATTTATCCTTTATTGCTAGTTTCCATAGTTATTTATTAGGCTTGGGCGGTTTCGTTCGTTAATTTCGTAATTCGTTATTAATTCGTATTTAAATTAGCTTACGATCCAATATTGAGCCATGCAGGAATAGTGTGAGGAGTAATTAGATTCGAAACAATTTTTCCAATTTATTTCGTAATTATTTCGTAATTATTTTCGCATGTCTGGTGCAAGTTTTTATAGTTGTTGTTTGTTTTATCACACCAACAGTCACAACAGAGGGAGAGGGAAGCTTCAGAAGTTCCCCCTGCCCCATTTGGAGGTTTTTTTTAGCATATTGCGCAATCGCGTCCGCCATTAACGAATCAATTCGAAATGTACGAAAATTCGTAAATTTCGAACTTTTTTAAAAGAAAAATTCAGAATTCTTTTAAAAAACAAAACGCTATGGACCCCCTAAAAACAAACACGTCAATTTATCATTTATTGCTAGTTTCCATAGTTCTTTATACCATTCTTCAATTGGTATATTTATTTTACCTTTCCAGTTCCTCGCTATCAGTAATCTTGCTGCAGTTAATATGTTATCTATTGCATCTTTCTCTGTTTTTTTAAATTTCTTAACATTATATAGTGACAACAATGCAATGCTTGCACTTTTTCCATCTTCATATCCATTATAGCTTCTATTTCTCCAAATACTTTCCCCCAAAATTCATTTACATATTTACATTGCCACCACATATGTGTATATGTTCCCACCTCCTGGCAACCTCTCCAACAATTTTTTGTGGCATTCTTATTAATATTTGCAAGCTTTACCGGTGTTAAGTACCATTTCCAAACCAATTCATAATAATTTTCTTTAACACGTATCGATAATTTAAAAAAATATCTTTGATCCCATAATTGTACCCAATCCGCTTCTTTTATTCTAATCCCTAGATCTTCCTCCCATATCTCTCTTAATATTGCATCCTTTATTTTTCCCCCTTAATATCAATTATTATCTTATACAATTTGCTGGTTATTCCTTTCATCTTGTGGTATCCTCCCGTAGCTCTTTCTTTTTGTATCATTTGTTCAACTTGCTTAAGTTTGCTTCCTTCTCCATTATTTTTTATCCAATTCTTGAACCATTCCCCTAACTGTAAGCAGTGGAACCATGAGTGTTTAATATCTCTAAATTCTCTCAATATAGTTTCTTTCCTCATGTGTGAAAAAGGTTTCTACCACGAACTGACTAGATGTAGACATCAAGTCCTACGAATATCTGGAATCTTGCATCCAAATCCCAAAGAGGGAAGGTTTATACCAATTGCAACGTGCGCCTGCACTTTGGTGATCAAAAAAGACAGCAATTGATAAATGTGAACGTCTTGAAAAAAGTATTAAAGGCTAAGGCAGGAAAGAAATTATTCTTTTTCTAATTATCAAGCATTTCCTTTTAGGTGTGAAACAGCTCCATTTAAAATGTTAATATTCTTCGTTTTGCCTTCGCTTCCTGTTGCATTCGGATTCTTTGTCGTTTCAGATGTCAGGAAAACACTGGATGATTTGCAAAAAGTCTTGAAGAATTTTCAGGCCAGAGTTGAATTCTCAGAAGATTTACAGAAGATGAGCAATGTAAGAGATTTACTATTGTACTAAGGAAGAGATTCCATTAAACAGATCTTTAAAATCATATAAACCTCTAGAGTAGTGGTTCTCAGCGTTCCTAATGCCGTGACCCCTTATGTTGTGGTGACTCTCAAACATACATTTATCACAACTGTAATTTTGATACTGTTGTGAATCGTAATGTAAACATTTGATATGCAAGATGTATTCTCTTTTACTGGACCAAATTTGGCACAAATACCCAATACACCCAAATTTGTGGGGTTTGGGGGGGGGGGGTTTTTTTTTCATTTTGGAGTTGTAGTTGCTGGGATTTATAGTTCACCTACAATCAAAGAGGATTCTGGATTCCACCAACGATGAAATTGAATCAAACTTGGCACACAGACCTCCCATGACTAACAGAAAATTGGAAGGTTTGGTGGGCATTGACTTGGAGTTTTGGAGTTGTAGTTCACCTACATCCAGAGAGCACTGTGGACTCAAACGATGATGGATCTGGACCAAATTTAGAACGAATCCTCAATATACCCAAATATGAACACTGGTGGAGTTTGGGGAAAATAGCCCTTGACATTTGGGAGTTGTAGTTACTGGGATTTATAGTTCACCTACAATCAACGAGCATTCTGAGCTCCACCAACGATGGAATTGAACCAAACTTGGCACACAGACCTCCCATGACCAACAGAAAATACTGTGTTTTCTGATGGTCTTTGGTGACCCCTCTGACACCCCCTCATGAGCCCCCCCCCCCAGGGGTCCCAACCTCCAGGTTGAGAAACACTGACCTAATATTATAGTTTATCAGTGTGTTTTTTCTGTGTTTGTTAGTCTCAAGAGCCAGTCCTTTTGGATGAACCTTGGGTCCGATATGCATCTAATAGGACTCTTGTTTTTTTGTAGTATTATAAATGCATTGATACTTGTTTCATTTCACGAATTGTTTGTGATCTCGCAATACTTTGCTTGCAGTAGACTGATCACTGCTACCTTGAACTTCTAAGGCTAGTTGGCTATATATACCAACACTTTAACCAGTATATTAAGTTTACTCATTTATTTCACTATTTTTCCAACTAGGAAGCAGGAGACTTCGTTGATATAAAAGAAGTAATTGAAAGTAATGGCACTGAAATAAAAGGTGAGGTTCTTCTTAAATAAAAATAACATACACACACACTCACACACACACACACATTGTGCAGAAGTCATTGATACTATGTATGTGTTTAACTGTTAGAGTATATATTTGTGTTTGTAACATAGCTAAAACTAGAGTTATCTGGTTTGAATCCACAGTGAGCGTTGCCAAGGAGACCATGCAGGCTAGCTCAGGAGAGTGAGATGTGGGCGGAGCCAAGCAGGAAAAGTTATGTGCGTCTTTGGCAAAGGGGCAGTGTGTGTGTGTGAGTGTGGAGGCTTGAAAAGGAGAGAGGTGTGTGTGAGCAGCTGGAGGTTTTTCAGTCTAGAAGGGCTGAAGAGAGAAACCTGGCCAGTTTCTTTAGTCAAGGAAGACTAAAGGAAGCTTGTTAAGATCCTTAGTCAAGGAAGGACTAGAGATCAGAGATTTGATCAAGGAAAGATCAAATTAGAAGGCTATTCATAGTAGGAAACATTGTTCACTAAAGAGCTTCACCTCAGTAAAAGTTAGCCACGAGCTGTGTTATTTGGAAGAGTGGACTGTATTACAAACCAAGTGATATTCAAAGTTCTATAAGTTATTTAACAGCCTGCAACCATATGTTTTGTACACAGTATACTTGTTATCTTTTGTTGAAGACTGTCTCAGCTCAATTAATCTGCATCTGTAAAGCCAGATCTCATCGGTGACACCTCAAATACCTCACGTTGGTGGCAGTTACCTTAATTTACAAGTAATAATTGGCCTCCTCTATAATATATTCTTATACACAATTGAGGCCTGAGATTAATTCCCTCCATAATCATCCACACCTGTACAATTGGTTCGTGCAAACTGTACACACATATATTCACACACAAAACATATATACACAGACTGGGCCACAGCAACACGTGGCAGGGGATGGCTAGTATATTATACTATTAGCATAGCATATTATTATTATTATTATTATTATTATTATTATTATCATTATATATTACTATATTTTACTATACCACTATACTGCAGTATTATTACTAATATTACATGTAATATATAAGATACAATTATTCTATTTTATTACTAGGTTTTTTTTTAAAAAAAATGGATTAATTCATATAACTATTTCTTAACTGTAGAGTGCATGTTTGGTTTCTGAAAATGCCTAATTCAGTTTCTGGTCTCTCTACCTATGGCTGAGAAAGGTGAAATCTTCGAGAGCTGTTTTTGATCTATACAGATAGTACAGGACTTGGATGGTCCATGAGGCTGTTTCCCATAGACCTGTTGTGTCATGGATGCAAAATATCCCAGTAATTGCTTTCTGATTTCCAGCACAAAATTGTGCTTTAGTATTTGGGCAATGGTAGGCAACTGATGCCCCGAGACACTTCTCTGGTTCGTTGGCAAAAGTAGTAATCTGAGTAAGTTTGTTTGTTTGGTAACTGTATTCTTAAGCGTGGTTTGTGTGTTTAATTATCCAGGAAAACACAGAACTGCTCACAAACCTCATTCGAAACCAAAAACACTTGCTTTTGAAGCAAATCTTCAAGAAAACGGAGCTGGGAGCCTGAAAACGGAGGAGGACCTCTGGGCCAGGCTTGATGAACTGGAGAAGCAAGAAGAGGCCCTTGGTGAATGTGAAAGGAATCCTGAGAGCTCTGGGTTGGAGTTTTCAATCCAGAAGAAGTAAGAAAACTCAGGACGGAAAGCCTGACCATTACTACATCCAATCTGCAAATATCTGTGCTTATTGCTGTGTTATTACTGTACTAGTTGTACCCACCACACGTTGCTGTGGCCAACCTTCCCTTCCTCTTTCTCTCCTTCTTTTGTTCTCTCCTTCCTTCCCTCCCTCTTTCTTGAATAGTGAATCTGAACATTCCATCTGAACATTAGGAAGAACTTCCTGACTGTGAGAGCCGTTCAGCAGTGGAACTCTCTGCCCCGGAGTGTGGTGGAGGCTCCTTCTTTGGAAGCTTTTAAGCAGAGGCTGGATGGCCATTTGTCAGGGGTGATTTGAATGCAATATTCCTGCTTCTTGGCAGGGGTTGGACTGGATGGCCCACGAGGTCTCTTCCAACTCTTTGATTCTATGATTCTATGATTCTTGGTCAATTTGCCAAGACCCTAACAACCTGTTTCTTTTTTCACTTCCTTTGCTCCTTGTCTCCTTCCTTCCTTCCCTTCCTCCCTCCCTCTTTCACTTTTTTATTTCCTTCTCTCCTTCCTCCCTTCTCTATCTTTCTTCCCTTCTCTCCTTCCCTCCTTCTTTCCCTCCTTCTCTCCTTCCTTCCTTCCCTCTTTCTTTCCTTCTGTTTTTTTTCTTTCCCTTCTCCTTTCCTTTCTTCTTTCTTCCTTCTCTACCTGTTTCTTTTTTCACTTCCTTTGATCCTTCCTTCTCTTTCTTCCCTCCTTCCTTCCCTTCCCTCTTTCCTTCCCTCTTTCTTTTATTCCTTCTCTCCTTCCTTCCTTCTCTACCTTTCTTTCTTCCTTCTCTCCTTCCTCCTTCTTTCCCTTCTTCTCCTCCTTCTCTCATTCCTTCCTTCCCCCTTTCTATGTATGTGTTTTCCGTGTGCATATATTTCTGTAAATATTTGTGTATATGTGTATATATGTGATTTTGCGCATGCATTGTAATGCATTTTTTGTTTTTTGGCTTTTAAAGTCTCTTCTGTTGTGTTTTTCAGTGTTTTTATGAGTGATGGTCACTTGTTGGCCTGATAGGTGTATTCTCTCCAAATTTGGTGTCAATTCGTCCAGTGGTTTTTGAGTTACGTTAATTCCACAAACAAACAATACATTTTCCATTTAACATTTTCCATCTAAAATTATCTGCATTACGTATTGCTAAGTCAATAAAAAAACAATAGCAAACAGTCCTATTGTCTAATTAGCTTGGATATGCGCCAACTGCGACCGTACCTCGCGAAGGCTGATCTGGCCGGAGTGGTCCATGCCTTGGTCACCTCTAGGGTGGATTACTGTAATGCGCTCTACGTGGGGCTGCCCTTGAAAACGGCTCGGAAATTCCAACTGGTCCAACGAGCAGCAGCCAGGATGTTGACTGGCGCTCCTTACAGAGAGAGGTCAACCCTCCTGTTCAAGGAGCTCCACTGGCTGCCGTTTATCTACCGAGCCCAATTTAAGGTGCAGGTGCTTACCTACAAAGCCCTGAACGGTTTGGGACCATCCTACCTGCGTGATCGCATCTCCGTCTACGAACCCACGCACTCTCTTCGTTCATCTGGAGAGGCCCTGCTCGTGATCCCACCTGCGTCACAAGCACGTTTGGTGGGGACACGAGACAGGGCCTTTTCTGTGGTGGCCCCCGACTCTGGAACACCCTCCCCAAAGATCTTAGACAGGCCCCTACATTGGCAGTCTTCAGAAAGAACTTGAAGACCTGGCTGTTCCGATGTGCCTTCCCCGAATAGGAAACCTCCAATACCAAGTCCCATAAGCACTTTATTAAAGCTAAGACCGCCGCACACCGCACACTGCACTTGCCCATAAGCCTCATATTCCACCCGTCACATCAGCACTTTTAACTCTTGTACCCTTACTCTGGCCCGGCCCAGTTTTATCATGTCTTAGTGGATTGTTCATTGTTGTTGTTTAGATTGTTTTAATTGTTTTTAATTTGCCTAGGTTTTGTATTACTGTATTGTGTGTTGAGGCCTCGGCCTTTGTAAGCTGCATCGAGTCCTTCAGGAGATGCTAGCGGGGTACAAATAAAGTTTAATAATAATAATAATAATAATAATATAAATGTATTTTACTGTTGTAGTTGATTATTTTCATTAGTATTTATTTATTTATTTACGACATTTATATGCTGCCCTTCTCACCCCGAAGGGGACTCAGAGCGGCTTACAAGACATATATATATATACACACACATACACACACAATGTATTATATTATTAGCATAGTACAATATCAGTATTAAAGATTACTGTATTGTACTATACCATTATATTGTAATATTATTAGTAATATTACATGTAATATAAATATATAATTATAATATATTATTATTGGTATCATATTGCATTGTATTATACTATTATAAATATTATATGTATATACAATATATTATATTACATTATATTATATTATTAGAATAGCACAGGAGACAAGGCGGAAATTTAGGTACCACTTATCTGGGGAGGCTAATTTAACTGATTTACGATGCCATAAAAATCTCCAGCAAGTATGCAAAAGAATAAGGAAGTACTTCATCAGTGTTCCAAACGGACGGTGAAGCAACAGCTCCCCTCGTGGCCAGAAGCTGGAATGTTAACTAAAATAACCTCTGTGTGTCTGTCTATATATGTTGTGTGTCTATGGCATTGAATGTTTGCCATGTATATTTACATTATAATCCGCCCTGAGTCCCTTGTGGGGCGAGAAGGGTGGAATATAAGTACTGTAAATAAATAAATAACTAAATAAAGGCCTCATAAAACTATAACTCCCATGATTCAATCGCATTGAGCCAAGGCAATTCAGGTGGTGCTAAATTGCATTAATTTTACAGTACAGATGTAACCCGAATCAACGTGATGGCCGCTCTGAGTCGTGAGAAGGGTGGGATATAAATGTAGTAAATAAATATATAAATTCTACAGCTTTGCTACATCCTCAGACTCTTCTGATTCAGACTGATGTTTCTCCTCTTTAGGATTTCCGATGCCATTCAGGCAAATGGAGAGGATGCCTCTTCCTCTGAAGAAGAAGAAGAGAAGGAAGACAAGAAGACAAATGTGAATACAGTTCATGAGGAAGACGAATCTCATACTCAGGGCAACTTTCAGAAAGAAGTGGCCAACTCTGCATTGCACAGAGGTCAGCTGAATGGCCCAGGACATTGTTGCAGTGATGAGGAGGAGGAGGAAGAGGAAGAGGAGGATGTAGTCATTGCTGAGAATGCTGTACCAACAATATATTTCTCCCATACTGTGGAACCTAAAAGGGTTAGTATTGCAAGCATTTGTGTTATAGCGATTAATTACACTATATGTAAAAAATATTGAAAAAAAATGTGTTCCTAGTTTGAAAGTGTTACTTTGATTTGGAAGGTACTTACTTTGAAAATGGTTCTTCTACTCCAGAAACATTGTTTTTATAGCTGCCACAAACTATGTGGAACTGCTTAAGATTCAAAGTGCTGGTTTTGACCTACAAAACCCTACACGGTTCCGGCCCAGCGTATCTGTCCGAACGCATCTCCCTTTACGTCCCACCTCGGAGTTTGAGATCCTCTGGGGAGGCCCTGCTCTCGGCCCCGCCTCTGTCACAAGTGAGATTGGCGGGGACGAGGAGCAGGGCCTTCTCAGTGGTGGCTCCTCACCTATGGAATTCACTCCCCGGGGAAATTAGATCAGCAATCCCTCCTTTCCTTCAGAAAGAAATTAAAAACATGGATGTGGGAACAGGCAATCTGGCAAATGAATAAAGGACTGTGACGACGGATAGGAATTGGACAAGGTGGAACGAAATATGGACTCTGAGTTGGCGAACGTTGTGACTGAGATTGGCTATCGATTGTGAGATATATTGTTGTTTTAATTGTTTTAATTGTGGACCATTTAATTGCTGTTTTTATATGTTATTGTATTTGTGTGGGCACCAAGATGTGCCTTTTTGTAAGCTGTCCTGAGTCCCCCCTCGGTGGTTGAGAACGGCGGGGTAGAAGTATTCGAAATAAATAAATAAAATAAATTCTATGATGGACTAGCCGTCCCCTGCCACGCTTTGCTGTGGCCCAGTCTGGTGAACTGGAAAATAAAGTAATAAAAAAGTGTTAGTTTCTAATATATGTAATGTCTTTATGCTTGTGGGTAAACAGTATTTCTTGTTGTTTCTTTGTCGGCGTTGATGTGGTTTGCCTACTCTGGAACATGCAAGATATCATTGTCCTTCTTTAGGGGTTCCTTTCAAACCTATGATACTATATCTCTCTCTCTATGTGAATAACATATATCTATCTATATCTATGGCTGGATGGCTCTTTGTCAGGAGGGCTTTGATGACGTTTTCTTGCCCTGGTGAAGGGAGTTGGACTGGATGGCCTTAAGTATTTTCTGCTGGTCATGGGGATTCTGTGTGGGAAGTTTGCCCCAATTCTGTTGTTCTTGGGGTTCAGCATGCTCTTTGATTGTATGTGAACTATAAATCCCTGTGTAACATGCACAGATATCTATAACAACAATTACAAAAACTGCAGATTGCAAATCACAATTTCTGTATTACAGCGTGGGAACATTAACATGATTAATTAGTAACTGTTTATAAATGAAAGATTGTTTATCAATATTTTGTCAACACAATGAAACTTAAGCTTCCAAAATTATTTATTTATTTACTTCATTTATATACTGCTTTTCTCAGCCCTCAGGCGACTCAAAGCGGTTAACAACAGCAAAATTCAATGCAAAAACATCACAAAACGAATATGGGACAGTTAAAAACAGTAGCATCATCAACTATTAAACATCAAAATAACAATCATTAGCATCTCATCAGTAAAATCAGAATCCAAAATAACAATTACTGTATACCAGGAGATTCTTCATAAGTACATGACGTCAGAAATAGTAACTCAAATATTGTTAAATGCAATATAATGAATTTTCAGCTTCCAAAATAACAATTTCTATATTGTAGAAAGTTCTTCATATGATATATGTCTCATAATATCTTCTTCAGGTGTTAGTCTTATCTATGATGCTTGAATTCAATTCTAATTAGTAGCTATTGGTTCTGTTGTAAGTTCCTATCTGCATTTACAGTCTTTGGATCCAGTTCCTGTGAACAGCCTAGGCTCTCTAATGAGAGGACGAGCTCGTTACAGAACTCATAGATAATTGTGATTTGCAATCTGCAGTTTTTGTAATTATTGAACTATAAATCCCAGCAACTACAACTCCCAAATGTCAAGGTCTATTTCCCCCAAACTTCACCAGTGTTCATATTTGAGCATATGGAATATTTGTGCAAAGTTTGGTCCAGATCCATCATTGTTTGAGTCCACAATGCTTTCTGGATGTAGGTGAACTACAACTCCCAAACTCAAGGTTAATGCCCATCAAATCCTTCCAGTATTTTCTATTGGTCATGGGAGTTCTGTGTGCCACGTTTGGTTCAGTTCCATTGTTGGTGGAGTTCAGAATGCTCTTTGATTGTAAGTAAACTATAAATCCTAGCAACTACAACTCCCAAATGACAAAATCAATTTTTTTAGTGTGATGGTCGCTCCTTGGGTTAGTAGGTGTCTTGTGGCCAAATATGGCGGCAATTCATCCAGTGGTTTTCGAGTTATGTTAATCCCAGAAATGAACATTACATTTTTATTTATGTAGGTACTAGCTGTACCCGCCACACTTCGCTGTGGCCAACCTTCCCTCTTTCTCTCCTTCTTTCCCTCCTTCCTTCACTCCCTCTTTCCTTCCTTCCCGTCTTTCCTTCTCTTCTTCCTTCCTTTTCTATCTCTTTCCTTCCTTCCCCCTTTTTCTTTCTCTTCTGCTGTCTCTCTTTTCTTCCTTCTCTCTTTCCTTCCCTCCCTCTTTCTCTACGTCTTCCCCCTTCCTTCTTTCCCTTTTTCTTTCCTTCTCTCCTTCCTTCCTTCTCTAACTTTCTTTCCTTCCCCCTTTTTCTTTCCCTCCCTCATTCTCTCCTTTCTTCCTTCTCTACCTTTTTCCTTCCTTCTCTCTTTGCTTCCATGCTTCCTTCTCCCTTTCCTTTCCTTCCCTCCCTCCCTCCCTCCCTCCCTCCCTCCCTCCCTCCCTCCTCCCTCCCTCCCTCCCTCCCTTCCTCTCTTCTCTTTCTTTCTTTCTTTCTTTCTTTCTTTCTTTTCTTTCTTTCTTTCTTTCTTTCTTTCTTTCTTTCTTTCTTTCTTTTCTCCCCTTCCCTCCCTCTTTCTTCCCTTTTTTTCTGTATTGTCATTTAGCTTTTCGTCATTTAGCTTTTTGGGACTTTTTAAGCCCCTTCTGCTGTGTTTTTCAGTGTATTTATGAGTGAAGGACATACATTGGGTTGTTAGGTGTCTTGTGTCCAAATTTGGTGTCAATTCTCCCAGTGGTTTTTGAGTTCAGTTAATCCCACAAACGAACATTACATTTTTATTTATATAGATTTATTGAAAAACTAGAGCAAAATGTGCTGCAGGATGTCCCTCTCACAGAAACAAAAGTTTTGGCAGTTTAATAAACTTTTCCTATCTTTTTATGATAGAACCAATTAGGAAGTGACATTTATAACCCAGGAACAAAAATCGTGTTGCATAGTGTTGTCAGTGTTACGGTATTTTTCTTCCAATACGTGATTGGTTTTTTTTTTACATGACCAGAATTTCCCCAAAACTTGGTTAAACTCTTATTTATTCTGAGGATGACAAAGTAGACCTCCCGGAAAATACTTTCCGTTCAGCCACGGCTTTGACTCCTTTCCAGTCTTCTTATCTGAAGGAAATATGCCTCCTAATTTGGGAAATGGGAAGGAGTAATCCAAAAGAAGGGACCCCCCCCCCCCGGTGATGCAGCGAGTTAAACCGCTGAACTGCTGAACTTGCTGACCAAAAGATTGGCAGTTCAAATCCGGGGAGTGGGGTGAACTCCTGTTGTTAGCCCCAGCTTCTGCCAACTTAGCAGTTCAAAAACATGCAAATGTGAGTAGATAGGTACTAGGCTTGGGCGGTTTCGTTCGTTAATTTCGTAATTCATTATTAATTCGTATTTAAATTAGCTTACGATCCAATATTGAGCCATGCAGGAATAGTGTGAGGAGTAAATTAGATTCGAAACAATTTTTTCAATTTATTTCGTAATTATTTCGTAATTATTTCGTAATTATTTTGTAATTATTTCGTAATTATTTTCCCATGTCTGGTGCAAGTTTTATAGTTGTTGTTTGTTTTATCACACCAACAGTCAACAACAGAGGGAGAGGGAAGCTTCAGAAGTTCCCCCTGTCCCATTTGGAGGTTTTTTTAGCATATTGCGCAATCGCGTCCGCCATTAACGAATCGATTCGTAATTATACGAAATTTCGTAAATTTCGAAATTTTTAAAAGGAAAATTTCGGAATTCTTTTAAAAAACGAAACGCGATGGACCCCTAAAAACGAAATGAGTTTAGAAACAAATTTTTCCGTTGTTACCCAGGCCTAATAGGTACCGCTCCAGTAGGAAAGGTAATGGTGCTTCATGCAGTCATGCCAGTCACATGATCTTGGAGGTGTCTACGGGCAACACCGGCTCTTCAGCTTAGAAATGGCGATGGGCACCAACTCCCAGAGTTGAACACAACTAGGGAAAAACCTTTATCTTTTATCCTCACAATCTCTGAAGATGCCTGCCATAGATGCAGGCAAAACGTCAGGAGGAAGTGCTTCTGGAACATGGCGGTACAGCCTGCAAAACTCACAACCACCCCTTGTCTGTCCTGTTTGTGTGTTTGTTGTTAAAGTGCTGCTTATTTTAAAACAATTTGGCTATCATTTTAATAAAAGCACAATGATTATGATGTATTATGGAATGAATCTATAAATCATGAGCTGTAATTTTTGATTTATGGCATATCAAATAAATATGATGTGTCTTTTGAAATATGTGCCACTTTCTCCCTTTCTGCCAGTGTTGCACAAATAATGTCCTGATCTAGAAGAAAGCATTCCAGTGTTGTCTGCCTTGTTTAACTCTTAACGTAATTAGTTAGCTTTTTCATAATTGCCAACTCGTGGGCCGCACTCTCCCTTTGTTAGAATATCTCTTGTTTTCGATGAGAAATTCTAGCTGTTTACATATAGAAAGTGAACGCGCTCAGGTTCTTAAGGGAAATTCTTAGTGAAGTTCAGCTAGAATTGAGTTTTATTCACTTAAGAAAATAATCAATATGGAATTTTGTTGGCTGATCTCTACTCTGTTACAAACTGAATAGTTCCCTTAATTTCAGGTACGAATAAACACGGGGAAAAATACAACGTTAAAATTCAGTGAAAAGAAAGAAGAGGCAAAACGAAAACGGAAGAACAGCAATGGCAATGGACACTCGTCTACGGAGCTGCCGAGCATCAAAACACCAGCAGACATTTACCGGTATGTAAGAATAATCTTATGCCTTGTGGGAGTATATTATGTATTATCTCATGTATAACTTAACTAATAGGGTAGATTTATTCCTGGACTTTACTTCTCAAACAAAAGGTTTTCAAACAGAGATAACCTAGAAAGAATCAGGTTAGGTTCCTGCATAACAACAACAACAACAACAAGAGGAGCAGTTCAAGATATTTAAGCAACCTTGTGCTCAAAACTAACAATGTGCATACTTTCAATGAAACAATGTGGTGAGAAAGCCCTGCGCAAACAAAAATATGTCTTACTTTCTAGATACTATCTATTCAGGAATGATGTTTGTTCCATTTCTGTGGCCAAATGTATAGATCTGTGTTTTTTAACAGGCTAAATCAGCATTGGCCGGGGCTTGCTAAATAGGCTGATGTTTCTTTTTTATGAAGTACAGCTGAAGCATTGTAATGTTGAAGGCTTTCATGGCTGGAATCACTGGATTGTTGTCAGTTTTCTGGGCTGTATGGCTATATTCCAGAAGCATCCTCTCCTAACGTTTCGCCTGCATCTATGGCAGGCATCCTCAGAGGTTGAGAGGTCCTCAAAACCTCTGAGGATGCCTGGCATAGATGTGAGGGTCTCACAACCTCTGAGGATGCCTGCCATAGATGTGAGAGTCTCACAATCTCTGAGGATGCCTGCCATAGATGTGAGGGTCTCTCAACCTCTGAGGATGCCTGCTACAGATGAAGGTGAAATGTCAGGAGAAAATGCTTCTGTAACATGGCCATACAGCCCAGAAAACCGACAACAACCCAACTGAAGCGTTATTTGCTGCAGATTGCAAATTCATGTAAATATCTACAACAGCCACTAGGTGGCATTTGGAAAGGTTTTACTGTTGTTCATTTTTTCATTAATCCCAGCATTGACTTAAGGGAGCTCCATTTGAGGTTGGGACACTCCATTTGGGGTCGTCTGTGGAAGAAGCAGAGGTAGATACCATTTTGAAGAAGAGTTCCTCATTTCCTTGTCGACATATATGGGAGAAAATGAACATTAGCTGCAACAGAGCAATTAAGTGTTTCCTTCATAGAATCATAGAATCCTAGAGTTGGAAGAGACCTCATAGGCCATCCAGTTCAACCCCATTCTGCCAAGAAGCAGGAACATGCAAAGCACCCCTGACAGATGGTCATCCAGCCTCTGTTTAAAAGCTTCCAATGAAGGAGCCTCCACCCCATTCCAGGGCAGAGAGTTCTACTGCTGAACGGCTCTCACAGTCAGGAAGCTCTTCCTCATGTTCAGATGGAATCTCCTTTCTTGTAGTTTGAAGCCATTTGTAGTGATTCTTACCTAGTAGGCCGAAAAAGAAGCCTGGATAAAAGTAGGGCAAACCTCCATTTTGAGAGTGTATGCCAGGGAAGCAGACATCTTGAGTGAGGATAGCTAGAAGATGGGAGGAGTTTGAGGTCTCCTGTGATTGGTTAGAGCAGATGGGAGGAGCCAAGCCTTAGGATGGAAAAAGATTTCAGCTTCTGTGGAGAGGAGGATTGGGAGCTGGTGGGAAAAGAAGTGTGTTTGGAAACTGGGTTTTCAGAGAGAGAGCGTCTGTGTCAGGCAGGGCTGATTTTCTGACAGGAAAGGTCAGCTACCTGATTTCTTGTGGCACAAGGGATTAACTCTCTAGACTGAGTTAGTTAGCTGGAAAAACTCTGGGAGGGTTAGCTGATAACTCAGGGGACTACCTAGGCTAGGTTAGTCAGAAACTCATTTCTATTTCTCTGCAGTAGGGATTTTTGTAACCAACAGCTATATCTGTTTGAATAGCTCTGTATGTAACCAAATGAAGAAACTTATTTCAAGCAACCATCAAGCTATAGTTCACTTTTGTAACAAATCAAGTGTTTTGTGCCTCTCAGAAGAAGAAGTTATTTGTCTGTTGTTTTTATAAATAAATCTTTTTCTATTTAACTTCCAAAAGGGTCTCTATTTTTCCTCAATCTATCAGTAATCCTTTGTGCTAATTCTAGCCTCTTTAACATCCTAATACCACAGAAAGGTCTCTTATCCAAACAGTCATTTTGAGAGCTAAGGGGAGAGCTGTGTTGGCAGAGAAAGGAAAAGTTTACCTCAAAAACTCATTTTAAATATCCTAAGACATCTTGGGTTGGTGGCAGCATTAAACCAAAAGAAGACTGAAGCAGTGTTCACTATACCATTATACATTACATCTAACATCAACTCGCTACCATTACTGGACCATTATTGTCCAGTAATGGTATATTACATATAGTTCTTTTACAGTGGTGTTCAACTGGGGGATACTTGGTGTTAGATAACTACGCATTTCTTTACACCATTCCTCCATTGCGTCCTAGTCTCCAGAGCAGCAAAAAGGAAGCTTGCTCCCTTCTCCTTATGACTTCCTCTCACGTATTTATACATGGTATTCATGCCCAGCTCTTTAAGCCGCTCTTCATAGGGCTTGTTCTCCAGACCCTTGATCATTTGAGTTGCCCTCCTCTGGACACATTCCAGCTTAGAGTCAAGATCTCCCTTCAATTGTGGTGTCCAGAATTTGACACAGTGTGATTCCAGGTGTGGTCTAACTAAGGCAGAATAGAGCATGAGGAGCAGGACTTCCCTGGATCTAGACTCTTCTTGATGCCAAAATCCCACCACATCTGGGAGTTTCTGTATCCGTTTTCCCTGAGGATGCTTGCTTCCAAAGGGAAGTTATGATCATTAACTTCTCAAAAAGGAAGTGCAACAATTGCAGAATACAGTCCACCTATCTTTTATACGTTTTAGCTAGGTTTTAGCTAGGACATTATTATTTAGCTAGGTTTTAGCTAGGACATTATTATTATTAATGTTATACTTACAAAGTTGAGTAGGCGAAGTTGTCATAACAAATTTGTGCCCAAGACAGAACGGAAAGGATTGTGAATTTGTCATGAGGTTCTTCTCCCCTCCCTCTGCATAGTTTATTAAAGCTAACATTTTCTTTTACAGAGTCTTTGTTGATGTTGTGAATGGAGAATATGTCCCTCGTAAATCAATCCTGAAGTCTCGAAGCCGGGAGAATAGTGTTTGTAGCGATACCAGCGAGAGCAGCACGGCCGAGTTTGACGACAGACGAGGAATTCTGAGGAGTGTCAGCTACGACGAAGCCACCTACAGCGACAACAGCGAAGGGATCTTGGAGGAGGAGGAGGAGGAAGAAGAGGGCGAGCAGGAACATCCTTCCAGAATCCCATCACTCACGTCAGGAATCTATGAGGTACAGGAAGAGATTTCCTTCTATTTCGAAAGATGTATTAGGACAAGTAAGACATCTTCATTAATTTCCTTTCTCATGGCTTGACTCCATAATTCACAATGGGTTACTCCTTGGGGAGAACAGCAACACTTTTCAAGAAGCAGTGTATTTTTCTCTGGAGGCACATTTTTCTCTTTTAAGATAGAAGAATTCAGGAACATCTTGAAGCGTCTTCTTTACTTACATTCAGAACACATGAGCTGGAGGTGTCTTTAAATGGGTCTGATAAGGACTTTGGCATGAAATCCTAGAGAGCCAGTGCCACTTAGCATTGATTCAGCATGTTCCTAGAAATAAATGCTGTTTACAAATTCTCATGCAGTTTGGTACTTCAGTGCTTGGAGTTTTCTAGCTCACGGAAATATATGAGTTCCATATTTCACATCCTCCAATAATTCTGAAGGGTTCTACAGATCTAGATCCCCAAAGAGTACAAGGATATAAGTACCTTGTCTGAAATCTTCTGTGACAACATTTCTAGCCTTCCAAATCTCCTATTCAAGGCGCTAATACCACAGTGAATGAGCCCACGTTACATAAAAACGGCATTAAATATGGGTTGTTGTAGGTTTTTCCGGGCTATATGGCCATGTTCTAGAGGCATTTTCTCCTGACGTTTCGCCTGCATCTATGGCAAGCATCCTCAGAGGTAGTGAGGTCTTTAAATATATGTGCATATGGTGATATATCTTAATGACTTCCCTGTCATCGTGAAAGGAAGCTTCACTTTTTTGTGGCATCTGTGACTCACACAAATTGTGTTATCTGTGCATTGTTTGGAACCTTATAGAGCTATATTATTATTATTATTATTATTATTATTATTATTATTATTATTATTTGAAACACAACATGGTGAGTCCACAACAGATGATGATGATAATGATGATGATGATGATGATGATGATGATGATTATTATTTGAAACACAACAAGATGAGTCCACAACAGAGAAGATCACTCTGCTGGCTGTTGTATTGGATCACACATCGGACACTTCCCAAGTATCTAGGACTGTGTGATGTATCGGCGAATAATGCGTGCAGATCCAAGTAGAGTGGCCTTTTGCAGCTGGCAGCTGGTAGTTTTGTCAGCACCAATTGCGTTTAAGTGCAGACCAAGGTCTTTAGGCACTGCACCCATGATATCTGCAAACCCATCCCTCTCCAAACACCTACCCTTTTCTCCTGGTCATGCTCACCACTTTTTAATTTTAATTATTACATTTGGCCCTGCCATAGTTTTTAATTGCGTCATTGTGTGTTGTTAATGTTATTGCTTTGTTTTTGATTTACTTTGCTGTATTGTTGTTGATGTTTTATTGTTGTATTTGGGCTCGGCCTCTTGTAAGCCGCACCGAGTCCTTCGGGAGATGGCAGCGGGGTACAAATAAAGGTATTATTATTATTATTATTATTATTATTATTATTATTATTATTATTATTTATCACCACTTGGACCATCTTGACTGGCTTGTTGTTGTTGTTATTTATCTACTCCTCGTGGCTCAAGGCAGGATACAACACAATCAAAACACTTTCAATAAAATACAGATATTGAAAAACATGGTACAAAGATGCCTCGTAACTCTATTTCCACCTAAGCCCTTAGTACCCTTTCATCTGCTATGTTACCAGCATTCGACATAGCTTTTGATTATTGGTTTGACTCAACTCATTCTTGACCATGTCTTCCACCTTCTTTAATAGCTTTAGAATGTCTTCTTTGAGTTCCTTTAAACATGCATGCCTTTGCGTACAGGGGGTCCTAAGTTCGGTCCTCAGCATCTTCAGTTATAAGGCAGGAAAAGACCTCTTCCTTGAGACCACGGAGTCTCATGACTTTCAGAATAGACAACAGTTGGTTAGATGGTTTCTGTGGTCCCAGTTGGAATGGAGAAACTCCACAAAGGTTCAGGGACTGGTTCTATTTATCTCTTGCTTTCTTGGGTTATACAGTTTTGATTTTTCTTCTTTTCCACCCAACTGTTCTTATTTTCCCCCATAAACTTGATGTTCTTTCTTGTCAGTGACAACAAACATTCTGATTCCAAATGCCATTTTATTCTTCATCTCTGGATTATCGTTTGCATGTTGTGACTGTTTATGTGGTTGAATTTAGTACTAGAGAAAAGTCCAGAAAGTATTATTAATAGGTTGTCTTATTAGATATATGGAACCTATTCTGAAGGAGATGGGGGAGAGATACATTGTGTAGATGCCCTATTTTGCCACTTGTCATCTTGAAGCAATTTAAAAAGGCCATGGTAATAAACCATGTACATGCAATATAGGACAGAGATGCCGACAAACAACAGAACTTCAGTGCTATCCTATTCAGATTGTGTGTCAGAAAGGAAACCAGATATTGTCCTTGTGCAAAATCCTTTCTGTCCTGTAACTCTTCAGATTGGTGACTCTGTTGAGATGTGCTGCTGTGTCCCTCTATTACCAAATAGTCCAAATACCTCCAGGGTCTCTTTATCCAATCAAACACTGGAAGCAAGGAGTTTGTTCAACAGGTTTATTTGATCAAATCATCCTGCCGGGTGAACAGAGGAAAGTGCCACACAAAACTGAGATGCAGCTCAGCTTTATATTCAACACCTTGAGCATGTGCACAAGCTATTTTCAGGCTATTTTCTCCAATGTATGCCTCATCTCTGTCTCTTCCTTTTGTTCCCTTCTGATGCCAGCTCTTATTGGTATTCCTGCACCTGCTATCCTCAGCAGCTGATTCCCCCTCCTGTGTCTCCCTCTCCTGTGCCTGCTTGTTACTAGGCATTTTCTGTTTGAACTTTCCCCTTGTCTGAACTCTCTGCTTTGGTTGGTAATTTTTCACTACTTCTTCAGCTATAGTTCCTTCAACTCCACCTCCCATCAGCCAGGTTAATAACTGAGGCGGCATACAGGGAGCATACAACGCTCATGTTACACCAGCTCCACTGGCTGCCTGTTTACTACCGGGCACAATTCAAAGTGTTGGCTTTGGTCTATAAAGCCCTAAATGGCCCCGACCCAATTTACCTGTCCGAACGCATCTCCCCCTATGAACCATCGCAAAGATTAAGATCCTCCAGGGAGGCCCTGCTTTCTGTCTCGCTATGGTCACAGGTGCAATTGGTGGGGACAAGAGACAGGGCCTTCTTGGTGATTGCTCCCCGGCTATGGAACACACTTCCTGGTGAGATCAGTTCGGCCCCCTCTCTCCTGTCCTTTAGAAGGATGGTCAAAACTTGGCTGTGGGACCAAGCTTTCGGGACAGGGCAATAAAGCAGCAATAGGAAAGATTACCAGGCCAGTTAGATTAGATACAGATGTCTAGGATGGTTTTTAATGGTGTATTTTAATATTGAGATAAATGTTTTTAATGTTTATGTATATGTATATGAATTTGTGTCCCGGCATTGAATGTTTGCTGTATATTTATTTATTTATTTGTGGTATTTATATTCCGCCCTTCTCACCCCGCAGGGGACTCAAGTCGGATTATAGTGTACACATATATGGCAAACATTCAATGCCAATTTTTTGATATACAATGTATACAGACATACACAGAGGCTATTTAACTTTTTCTGGCCGCCAGGGGAGCGGTCGCTTTCATCGCCCATCTGCGACACTGATGAAGTACTTCCGCATTCCCCGCATGATTTTGCTGGAGTGCTTTTCTGGAGTCTTTTTTTAATGGCCTCATAAATTAGTTTATTTAGCCTCCCCACACTTTAAGGTGGTACCTAATTTTCCTACTTGACAGATGCAACTGTCTTTCGGGTTGCAAAGGTCAACAACAGGCTACACAATTGGTTGGAAACCCACTCCAACCCAGGCTGGCTTCGAACTCATGACCTTTTGGTCAGAGTGATCTTTTTTTTTTTGGAAATAGTTTTTATTGTGCAGTTTTTCCATTTACAAATAAAAACAAACAAATAAATAAAACAAAACAAAAGAGTATCACCCTGTGCCCTGCCCATCTCCTCCAACCCTCCTCCCCCCAGTGTGTGGACTTCCCAAAGCCTTCAAAGAATCCTTTGTCTTCTGGTGTAGATGTCATCCATTCTTCAATTTTGTCTCCGACATTGTTTCCGTCTATTGATCTCTATTATCATAGTCATCTTTTTTGCTTTGATAAAGTCTTTGAACCCTCCCCAATTTGTCTTTTTTGTTGAGTTGTTTAGATGTTGGGATAAACAGTCCATTTGGATTGTGTCTAGTGTCTTTATGATCCAGTCTTCTATTGTCGGGGTTTCCTTCTGTTTCCACATTTTAGCCAACAGTATCCTAGCCGCCGTGCTTATTAGGAAGAAAACTTTTTCTTGATTTTTGTTAAATTTGGGGTAGGACATGCCTAATAAATACATTTCTGGGAGTTGTGGGAAGTTTGTTTTTAGGATTTTTTGTGTTGCTAGATGTATTTCTCTCCAATATTTCCTTTTTTTTTGCAGCTCCACCATTGGTGGTAGTAAGTCCCTATCTCTTTCTGACACTTCCAACATTTATTTGATGCGGTTTTGCTAAATTTGGCAATTTTATCTGGGGAATAGTGCCACCTGAAAAACATTTTATACCAGTTTTCTTTCAAATCTGTGGCTACTGGTCAGAGTGATCTTAATGCAACTGACACTCAGCCAGCTGCGCCACAATCCCAGTGCAATCCCGGTATATATGCTGTCCTCCGCCCCGAGTCCCCTTTGGGATGAGAAGGGCGGAATATCAATGTTTTAAATAAATAAGAAATAAATCAGTGCCATCTGCAATAATGTCTGGTCAGAATTATGTGAGTTGGAGTTCGACAATATTTTAAAGAGTCATAGATTCCCTGCTTGTACTGAGTCAGGTTATGGCTGCAGATATGTGCCACTGCTTAAGGCTGGTGCTCTACTTCTCTTTTGAGTTGGCCAGAGTTCTCAGGTCTATGACAACTTCTTCCTTTGGTTTTAAAGAGCAGTTTTCAGGTACTTGACATAAAGAAATAGCAGTGGTAGGTGTGACTGGGATATAGCAAAGCATGTTTAACAGGGTTAGCTTTACAACTGGAAGTCAGGGGTTAATTTTGGAGGTGTTCTTTGTCTTGCAGGCTTTCTCGGGAACGGTGGTGGAGAAGGAGCCCTTGTCCCCGCTTTCAGTGCTGCACCCGATCCTCGCACATCCTGTCCTGCCTACCATTCCTGAGCGGAAAGCTGAGGAAGTGCTCTCAGAAGCACCGGAAGAAGCTACAAAGAGGGTTTCGAAATTCAAAGCAGCCAGAATACGACAGAAAACATAGGTCCCATTAACACAACAAAGTGCATTATATGTAAGATGGGTTACATCTAGTGAACAAAAGGGTGGACTCTGCTGATTCGATACTGTTCATGTTTTGGCCTCTCGTTGATGGTATTTCTTTTTCTCATATATGAATGAATCTGTGAGGAAGAACTACAATATTCTCCATATTTTCTTAGAATCTCTGTATGCAGTCAGCACCTTTGTACATGTTTGCCTTACGATAATAGCACTTGGAATAATTTTCAAAAGAATAATCTTCATAAGGATTTTTCCCCCTTCTCCTTTGTGTTTAAAACTAATAGAAGCCGTTTTGTACCAGATGTGATGTTCCACATGCCATATGGGTCGTTTGACAGAAACTTCCCGAATTTCAAATAGAGCCAACAATTATATTTCATGACTTGCTTTAGCGTTTTAAGATTCACTTGTATTTTTCCCCCCATTGTTTTTGTAGGATTTGCTTTTAGGTGTCTGTGCTGACAAATCATTTCTTTCCTACTTGCATTTTAAAATAAAAAAAACTGTCTGAAGACTTCACTTGTGTCGCATCTACGAAACAGAACGCTGTGTTCATGCACTTTGCAGGGATGTTTCTTGATGAGAAAATAAAATGGTATTTTGTAAAATTAAACTTTTCAATTAAAGAAAAAGAAAATTCCAGAATATTGAGAGTACTTTTCTTTGGGTCGTAATACAGAATGGAGGAGAAGGGTTGTTGTTTTTTTTTTCAATTTCTAAATTCCTTGAGATGTTTTCTGAACTTTACAGTGCAAAGCAGGTTATTCTCTTCCTTTCTTTTGTAACAAACGTCTATTAATGTCAGAGAAGATTACGTGCTCCTGAAGAGAAGAGCTTAACCCTAAACCGAAAGCGCCTTAGCTGCACAGAGGCACTCCCCTTCTTTTGTGTGTTTAGAAACATATTGCTGTAGCTGTGGCCCCTTCCACAACGTGTGTTCAAGATACAGAATCGCTCATAATCGGAAAGGAAGTCGCCCTTCCTTCGGGACCTTCCACTGTATCTGCCACATAGTGGCTTTCTTTGCCACTTGGGCTCTTCCTATTAGAAGCAGTTTACTTTTGGTAAGTGATCAAAAATCAACAGCCTTTCCTTCTAACTGCCATTTAATAGCAGTTTGTTTAGTCTGCAGTTTATGTAACAGAGAAGACCAAGGACAGACAGAGCTAGCGCATATCTTACTATTCTATTTCATTGGTACGGGCGCAGCTTGGGAGTAATCCTGGACCCAAGGTACGGGCACAGCTTGGGAGTGATCCTGGACTCATCGCTGAGCCTGGAACCCCAGGTCTCGGCGGTGGCCGGGAGAGCTTTTGCACAATTAAAACTTGTGCGCCAGCTGCGCCCGTACCTTGGGAAGTCGGATCTGGCCACGGTGGTCCACGCTCTTGTTACATCCCGATTAGATTACTGCAACGCACTCTAAGTGGGGTTGCCTTTGAAGACTGTTCGGAAACTCCAACTAGTCCAGCGGGAGGCAGCCAGATTGCTCACCGGAGCGTCATACAGGGAGCATACCACCCCCCTGTTGTGTCAGCTCCACTGGCTGCCGATCCAGTTCCGAGCACAATTCAAAGTGCTGGTTTTGACCTACAAAACCCTATACGGTTCCGGCCCAGTGTATCTGTCCGAACGGATCTCCCTCTACGTCCCACCCCGGAGTCTAAGATCTTCTGGGGAGGCCCTGCTCTCGACCCCGCCTCTATCACAAGTGAGGTTGGCGGGGACGAGGAGCAGGGCCTTCTCGGTGGTGGCCCCCCGCCTGTGGAATTCACTCCTCGGGGAAATTAGATCTGCAACATCGCTCCTTTCCTTTAGGAAAAAACTGAAAACATGGATTTGGGACCAGGCATTCGGACAATCGGGCAGATAAAGAAAGAACTTTGACAATGATTAGGAAATGATTAATGGATTAGAACTATGGAACTCTGAAAGACGAAACGCTGAGCACGAGAATAGTTTTATATGATGTGTTATGTACTAGTTGTTGATTGTTTTGACTGTGATAACTGCTTTAAACTATGGTTTTGTATATTATGTGTAAATTGTATAGGAATCGAATTGTGCCTTTTTTGTAAGCCGCCCTGAGTCCTCCCTCGGGGGTTGAGAAGGGCGGGGTAAAAGTATCTGTAATAATAATAATAATTGGAATCTTGTTGCAACTCAGAGTAAGCTTCACCTTGCTTCCAAACACAACCACACAAGAGCTGTAGTTTTATAATTTATTGAGGAAAAAATCCAAGTCAAAATAAAGAATAAGCATTGCAAAGTTCCAAAGATTTGGGTAAAATGCAGAATACAGTTCCAAAGAGCTTCAGGTAAAAACAAGTTACAAGCAAAGACAATTGCCCCAAGAATCACAATGTAAGAAATCCCAAGCGTGCTGCTTGCCAGCTAAGATAATCCATGAAGCTTCCAGGCTAATAAGCTACGTTGAACTGACACTTTCCCTTAGTTTGCAAGAAGCCTAAATACCTTTCTAACATGAAAACATTATGTTCTCACTAACATGAACACATTGTGATGACCTTGGCCCGAGCTGGCATCCCGTCTACTGGCCAGGCGAGAACTCCGCCTCACCCGCAAATCAAGACGAGCCTGCCATGTCAGGTCACTATCAAGGCTTTCTGCACTTTCAGTATCAGTGTGGGAAGGAGGCAAAAGCCTCCCCACCTGTTCACTATCTCCGTTAAAATTCTTTTCTTCTGAGAACCGCTGTGTTGTTGACTCTCCACTGTCTGTGGGAGCCTCAGAAAAAGACCTAGAAGTAGGCCCAGAGATCTGAGGCACAGAAAAAGAGCCAGGAATCTGAATCCCATCATCCTCATCATCACGGAACATCTCAGCCACAACACTTGTCTTGTCCAGTCCACATAACCGTATCGACTCGAGACTCACGTGACATTCAATCTACTGCGCACTTCTATATTCAAAACCCTGAAAACAAAAGAAGTATTTGCTGGCAAATCCAAAGTGACCAATTTAAGGTGGAATCAGGTGTCAAACGGGGATGTGTTATTGCCTCAACCTTATTTTCCATCTTCATCACTATGATACTTCATCTTGTTGATGGGAAGCTTCCCACCAGAGTGGAAATAATCACTTTTCGGACAGATGGCAAGCTATTTAACCTCAGCAGACTGAAAGCCCAAAACCAAGTTTACAATATCTGTTATAGAACTCCAATATGCTGATGACAATGTCTATGCACATTCAGAAGAAGACCTACAAGCCACCTTCGCAGAAGCATAGGAGAAGCTCAACCGGTCATTGAACATCGAGAAAACCAAAGTGCTGTTCCAGCAGTCACCAGCCAATCCCTCACCAATGCCAGAAATACAGCTTAATGATGTAACATTAGAAAATGTTGACCATTTCTGCTCCCTTGGCAGCCACCTCTCCACCAAAGTCAACATCAACACTGAAAAACAACACCACCTGAGCTCTGCGAGTGCAGCATTTTTCTGAATAAACCACAGAGTGTTTGAGGACCGGGACATCCATAGAGATACCAAGGTGTTTGTTTATAAAGCTATTGTCCTCCCAATCCTGTTATATGCCTGCAAGACATGGACTGTCTACAGATGTCACATGCAACTCCTAGAATGATTCCATCAGTGTTGCCTCCTAAAAATCCTGCAAATTTCCTGGGAAGACAGGCGGACAAATGTCAGAGTGCTGGAAGAAGCAAAGACCACCAGCATTGAAGCAATGGTCCTCTGCCACCAACTCCGCTGGACCGGCCAGGTTGTCCAGATGCCCGACCACCGTCTCCCAAAGCAGTTGCTCTACTTCAAACTCAAGAATGGAAAACTGAATGTTGGTGGGCAGGAAAAGAGATTTAAAGATGGGCTCAAAACCAACCTTAAAAACTCTGGCATAGACACTGAGAACTGGGAAGTCCTGGCCCTTGAGCGCTCCAGCTGGAGGTCAGCTGTGACCAGCAGTGCTGCAGAATTTGAAGAGGCACGAATGGAGGACGAAAGACAGAAACGTGCCAAGAGGAAGGCGCGTCAAGCCAACCCCGACCAGGACCGCCTTCCACCTGGAAACAGATACCCTCACTGTGGGAGAACATGCACGTCAAAAATAGGGCTCCACAGTCACCAACGGACACCGATCTTGCAAGACAATCCTACTCGGACAACGAGAGATCGCCTCGTTGTCAGTCTTGGAACATTGGTGATCCTATTATCACTGTTGGGTCTGAGCAAAACTGTTGGATTTTGGTTTAGGTGTGGAAGGCAGACCCTACTGGAGGTCTTTATCTGAAACCAAAAATGCAACTGTCTAACTCCTACGGCTTTCCAAAGAAATAGGAACCTAATCCCGTTTCCTTGGATGAGAACAGCAGTTGGGACAGAAGCTGGAATACACACACGTTGTAACTGGGTATCGCAAACCTCGTTGGAGGTGTTAATCATTAGCTTGATGCACGCTGAAATGTGGATTTTATGGTTCTAAAGCATATTGCGTTGGTACTAAAATAAGCCATCAATGCCAGTCCACCCTCTATTCACGGCTAAATATTTAAAGGAGGTTATTTATAGCTTCTTTAATGAATTCTTGGCTAAACAAAATGAAATTATGTCCTAGAAAAGTTGGAGCTATTTTGTAACCAGAACAGTGCATCTATAAAATAAGAGTGCCATGAATATGTATTTTAAATAACAAAGGGGTTGAGATCTAATCTAAATCTACTGCTTAATTAGAAAAAACAGGTCCCGATCCTAGCTGTTCTTACACTCTCTAGTAAATCCAGAGTTGGAGTTCCTTTTTCCACTGAACTAATCAAAGTCCATGGCATTGACCCTGCTGCTTTTGATGATGGACTGTCTCTAGACCTGACTGTTTTGCTAGCTGCAAGTAAGCATTTCCGGATGGATAGTCACTTAACATCAGTGTAATTCTCTATGCTAATAGTGATGTCATTCACCATAGTATTGTTCCTTAGTAAAGGTAAATGTTTCCCCTTGACATTAAGTCTAGTCGTCTCTGACGGGTGGTGGTGCTCATCTCCATTTCTAAGTCGTAGAGCCGGCGTTGTCTGTAGACACCTCCAAGGTCATGTGGCCAGCATGAGTGCCTGGAGTACCGTTACCTTCCCGCCGGAGCAGTACCTATTGATCTCACATTTGCATGTTTTCGAACTGCTAGGTTGGCAGAACCTGTGCTTAACAGTGGGAGCTCACTCTGCTTCCCGGATTCGAACCACTGACCTTTCAGTCAGCAAGTTCAGCAGCTCAGCAGTTTAATAATTCCATATATAGCCAAAAAATATCACCATACTTACAGAAGAAGGCATATTGGTTAGGCTTGGTTGAACCACCAGGATTGTAGCACAGCTGGCTGAGTGTCAGATGCATTAAGATCACTCTGACCAAAAGGTCATGAGTTCGAAGCCAGCCCGGGTTGGAGTGGGTTTCCAACCAATTGTGTAGCCTGTTGTCGACCTTTGCAACCCGAAAGACAGTTGCATCTGTCAAGTAGGAAAATTAGGTACCACCTTAAAGTGTGGGGAGGCTAATTTAACTGATTTATGAGGCCATAAAAAAAGACTCCAGCAAGCACTCTAGCAAAAAGCATGCGGGGAATGCGGAAGTACTTCATCAGTGTTGCAGATGGACGATGAAAGCGACAGCTCC